CACATGCATCGCAATGACGCACCTGCTTGTTTACAATTTTTAAATATGTATTTTTAAAACATGGGTAACACTTTACAATAAGGCTTCGTCTGTTAACATTATTTAATGTATTAACTAACATAAACTAACAATGAGCAATACATTTGTTACAGAATTCATTCATCTTTTTAAATCTTAGTTAATACAAATCCAGGTGTTCATTGTTTGTTCATGTTAGCTTACAGTGCATTAACTAATGTTAACAAATAGTGAATGTAATTGAAGATTAATAAATGCTGTAGAAATATTGTTTATTTTTAGTTCATGTTAACTAATGAACCTTACTGTAAACATGATATTAGTCACTTTAACTGAAATAAAAAAAAATGTATTATCGTTTTCAAAAAATTTATTTACGCTTTCACCAAATTATGTACATATGGGGTCATATACAGTATGAGGAGGAAAATAACTACTGGGAGTTACAGTTTTATCGAAAACGTAAACCAAAACAGAAACAGTCATTTCAAATAATTCATGTGCACAAAACCACTACAGTATTTCATAGTACGAGTTATTCATGTAATGTGTTCTATTAGTAATATGTCATCCTAAATATAAATAATACAAAATACACAATTTATGTGGCCCAAAATCCTGGTTTGTAAAGTCATTTTATTCCCTTATATACAAAAAGACAAATTCCAATCATAAGAAATCTAGTAAAACAAACTTTTTCGTCTTTTTTTGTCTGTGATGTGCATTTTGTGGGTGAGTTGTGTCAAAAATTGCGACACACAATGGAGTTTGACCAATAAACGTAAAACTTTGAAGAAACCGAAAGTTTAAATAGAGAAGTTTTCACAGCATGTGTGAGTGGAGTACGGTGCATCATCAGAGCTCATCATGGTTCACGGGATCACTGCTGGGCTGAATAAAAACCCCCTCCATCACCTTCCAGTAGTTATGCTGATTGGCTGAAGGCATTCCATGGACCTCACGCTGGCCTCTGATTGGATGACCAAACTGCTCTCCTGTAACACTGAGGAAAACCTCAGTGCCGACATGTTTAAATCGCACCGCGTCGTCACGTTCCCAGTACGTTGCGCTGCACTGAACGCTCCATACGTCCAAATCATCTCCTTCTCCATTTTCACCGAACGCACTCACTTCCTGCGAACACAAAACCACTTGTAATAACCTGGGTTATGCTATACTACAGTTATAATTACAACTTAGAACTACTACAGGACATGCAGGTTAAGTTAGGAGAGTATTGTGCAGGTGTACCTGGTGGTTAGACAGCGGGGAGCTGAAGTGATGTGAGTGCAGGTTGCGTCCAGTCTTCATGTGTGTGATTCGGATGGCCTCTCCGCACCGTATGGGCGCCCCACGCTGACAAACGCGGTCTGGTTTCCCACGGATACGCCAGTAGCTGTTGGCATCCTCGGCCGAATCCACGCCTGTTACTGACTGCTGGCCACTACCTGCAGGGTATCGTGTAAAAAAATGTTTGGTAAATTTGAGCATAGATGTAAACATCCCATATGCCTTTAGTATTCTGAGAATATAGCTTTTTAAAATTACATTTAAATCAATACATGATATTTACAAATAGTTATCAAATATCACTGAGAAGTACTTCTCCAGTTTTTTGATGTATTTAGATTCCAATTATTGTTTTCATTACACTGTTAGAAGTTATAGGCTAAAAACATTACCCTATCAAGAATCAATTATATAACATTTTCCTGCTATTTGAATCCACTGTGTAAAATATTTTTAATCTTTACTTAATCAGGGTTAAAAAAACTAGGGCTGTCAAACGATTAATCGCATCCAAAATAAAAGTTTTTGTTTACATAATATGTGGGTGCACTGTGTACAATTCCTTTGTGTGTATGTATGTATATATATATATATATATATATATAAATACACACAGATGCATGTATATTTAAGAAAATATTATTAAAAAGTATTATTTATATATCAAATATTTATATATATATATATATATATATATATATAAAATAATTATACACAGTGCACCCACATATATTATGTAAACACAAACTTTTATTTTGGATGCGATTAATCACGATTAATCGTTTGACAGCCAAAAATAAAACCTTTTGCAAGAGGGTCCTGGATTATTATTATTATATAATCATCAAAATAATAATAATTAAGTATTTTTATTTATTATTCAGGGTGAACATTCACTTTTGGTCAATTTATGTAGAGAGACATATAGATAATTATATATAATATATAATAAAATTAATATAATAATTATATATATTTGTTAATAGTACAATTCTAAAGCATTTAATGTCACTTTGAACTTAGAAACTTTTTGCAACTCGAAGGAATACCATAGTATTACCATTGCACGTCAAAAATGGTATTATCATGTTACCTTTGTTTTAGTAGCATATTGTAGTGCACCTGTCGTCATGATTACATGCATTCTTCAGGTAGACATATTATATCATAACCAACAAAAATAAAACCATTGGGTAAGAGACAGAATAAGAGTCTATAAATGCTTTCAGAAAAGCAGATCCAGTACTTTGCTGATCACCGATGGGAAATATTACTAATCATCATTAGCTTCCTGGCTAATGCACCAGCAGGCATTATTACTAAGCACAATAATATGAGTGAATAAAAAGCTCAAAGTGAATATTAAATGGTCGACTACAACATAAACATCATCCGAGGGCCTCGTTAACCAAAAAGTTAAAGTTTATGCTGAGAGTGTTTATACCTGATCCGTATTTGACATCATGAGAGTGAAGTCTGACGTTGTGCCGTGTGTTCATCAGTTTGATCAGGGATCCACAAGTCACGTAGCTGGAGTCCAAATCACTGGCCCCAGATCGGGCAAACATGAAACATACTAAAATTAAACCTAGAAAGACAGATAGAACTCTTAATGGTCCCATTGTTACAGCAAGTGTCTATGTACATCACAAAAAAATGGATACGGCGAGCCCCATTCAAACGCTGACACGCTTTCTAACCAATCGCATCATGACAAGTCCGAAAACAAGGAAGTGATCCGCGCGCACACTCGGAAATCAGTGATTGGTCGAGGATGATGTGACGTGAGCTTACTTACATTCTGCTTAGTTCACATTTAAATCTCTTGTTCTCATGGTATGGATTAAAAAATAGAAATATAAATTATGTCGCATTCAAATATTTAAAAATATCACGACACTTATTAATGTTTTCTAAAGTCTATTTGAATGTTTGGGTATTTAACATAGACTGTAAAGAAAAAAAACATTTAAACATATTTGTTATAAGTTGTTATTACTGAAAGTTATGTTAACGGAATCATATCAAGAATCACATATACAAACATTATTCTTCTAAGAACTGCTAAAATGTAATTAGTTCAATTATTGTTGCAATTATTTTTGTTTACTGTTGTTTTAGTTTTAGTTTTCAATATGGATTCATTTTTGTAAATTTACAAACAACTATAAACACTTATAAAAGTCCAACGTGCATATACTTGTAGTGTTTTTTTCCCCAGTCTTTCAAATTTCACTTGTAATTCAATGTGTTACTTTGCATTTTCTTTGTAATCAATTGTGAAATTTACAAGCAATTTTGAATTTAAAATTGTGTCTAATTTTTTTTTGTGTGTGTGATATCAACGTGACAACCCGCACAGTCCAACTATTTGGTTAAATGTCCCTCATTAACCTTGTATCCAAATGTTTTTTATTGTATTTCCCTTTGCTTAGCCAAGACTGTAAAGTGTAGTCCTAATTTAAGACTAGTGAACAAGTGGTTTGAAACCAACCTATAACACTACTATACAAAACCAACATTTATGCAATTAGACTTTAGCCTCAAAACATTACATATACTGAGATATAGCTCTTGTGACAGCTAAGTAGCCCCACTCTCCACTACAGCTTATTAAAGAATCAGTTTGTGTGTTCCACTACTTTATTTTGTACCTAAAATAAGTAATTGTCAACTGACATTAAGCGTATGTTTATTTTACAAGGAGTAGTCCAGCAGTTTATTTGTATGTTTGCTATGTGTAAGGGGTTTCCCTTCAGAAAAAATCACATTCTGGAGATGGGATGAGGGTGTTTGGGTTAAAAGAGTGGGACCAACCATACCCCCCAACAAGCGACAACCCAGGTTATTAGCACATAAATTAGGGGATTGCATGTTATTGTTATGCTGTTATGTCAGGTGGCTGAAGAGCCAAAGATCATAAACATGATTCTCTCTCTCTCTCTCTCTCTCTCTCTCTCTCTCTCTCTCTCTCTCTCTCTCTCTCTCTCTCTCTCTCTCTCTCTCTCTCTCTCTCTCTCTCTCTCTCGCTCTCTCTCTCTCTCTCTCTCTCTCTCTTTGTATTTCTCTCTCTATCTTTGTAATTATTTCCATAATTTTAAACTAGGTTAAGTGTCTTGGGAAAACATTCATGAGCCTCTATAGACACGTAGGCAAAGTCACACCTGCTGCCTTAAGTCTGTGTACAAGGAAAAGTTTCACATTCATAACATTGAGAGCAGCAGAATCATGGCTCTGGTGAGTATACCATGATGTTTGAGATTATCATTTAATAATTCATATCAAAAAATAAAATAAAAATCCATTAATGTTTGCAATAGCCTATCTTATTCGAACTCTTTGTTATTTCTCAAAAATACTTTTTATTCATTCTCTATTCTTCCTAATACAAGGTGGGTGCGTTTGAATATTAAGGAGTAGTGTAAAATAGCCTATATTAAAATAAGAAATAGGCTACTTTGTGTATAATTCAGCTTCAAAGGTGGGCTACGATCTCTCACATAAAAATTAAATGGGGTTCTAGATTGTTGACTTGAACACATATAGGCTAAACGTTTTAAAAAACTTCATCAAATATGCTTTATATATCTATATATATTCACATCCACCAGGATTTGGAAACTACAGCACATGGGCCTATTTGATTTGTACATGTGGCGTTGTTTTATTGATATCCTGTAGAGGGCGCTGCCACTCCGGAAAAGGAAATTGCATTAACGTCTTCAGTCGGCCAGTCGCTTTGGTCGCTCCGCGCTGTGTTGGATGGGTACAGTATAAAAATGGACTAATGGCAAAAACCTCGAAATAAAATGGGTAAGCGATTACTACATTATTACTATTAGCTAGGCGTATATTAAAAAACAGATTTTGTCCCATTGAAATTATAAGGTATATGTTTGAATCTTAGAATCCCGGCTAAACGTTAATAAAACCGAGTTTGTCATTGGGCTGTGTAGATCTGTAGATGGTCATGGGTAGGCAGTGGCAGCTGGTCGTGTTAACATAGAAGAAGTGAAGAAGGCAGACTTTAGATCTGTCTAATTCGCCGGTGATTTCCCGGTTGTGATAAGCAGCTTTCCCGCAACCGAGACTCGCGTTAAAACTGACCTTTCGATTTGCCTTTAAACAAAATGATGTTGGAATCATGACGTGTCGTCTTGTTTCCTGAAGTGTGAATGAATTGTACTTCAATTTCAAGACTGTTCACCTGTGTTAGGTTTGAATTTTAATTATTTTATTTTTTAAATATCGATAATCGGTTACATTTTTACATTTAATCCTCACCATTTGATGATTTGGCATAAATAAAATGTATTAATTAATAATTAGGGGTTTAACGATACCCTCATGTCACGATTCGATGCATATATCACGATACTGAACTCACGATACGAAATTATTACGATATATGATAAAGGTTAACAATAAATGTACTGTTGATTAAAATGCGAAATTGATATTACAGTGTTGGTTTAAAAAAATAGGCTTGGACTTGGTGCTTGTAACCCAACGACAATGGTGATTGGTGACACCAGAATAAAAATATTAATGATTGTGAAGATTCTGAGTTATTGTAGATGAATATTGCACGCTTTCACTGACTAGATATATTTTAAATAATGTCAGCCACTTTTTACTGGTAACATAAGACATTTGGCATTATCAGGACCCACAAATATTCCCCCATTGCATTATTATACATTCTATTCAACATTATATATAGTAGCTCAATGTAGTACTGACACTAAAACTCTGAAAACTTGATTTTTTTTTTCTCACATAATTTTTTATTTTAGGGGGACTATCCACGATATGTATTGTTGCATTTTTTGCATTGCGATATATTGTTAGACCCCTGTTAATAATATTTATAAAATTTAGTTTAATTATACAATTAGTTGTTATTATTGTCAAAAAGTAAAAATAAAACCAATTAGTTCTGTTTAGCATAAAAATAATCATTAAAATAAATCAGCAATTTATTTTCAACTATGAATATCTTTACAGTTAGAAAGCCTAAAACAAATATGGAAATACATATATAAGTGTTAACAACAATTAATATTTGTTATTTATAATATATGAATTATCAATTAATTTAATGTAGTAAAATCTAAAGATCCATTAGTTGTTATCATTATGTAAAAAAAAAAAAAACTGTTTCTGAAATTCAGAAATTCTTCTAATTGTAAAAAAATAAATAAATAAATAAAAGCTGAATAATTTCAATTAAAGCAATATTGGTTGATCTTTTTCATCAGCAAGGCGAGGAGAAGATGCCTCAACCCAAGGTGAAGCTGGTGGTGACGGGAGATGATTTTGGCTACTGCGAGAGAAGAAATCAAGGAATCGTGGATTGCTTCAGAGCTGGTGCGATCTCCAATGTCTCTCTTCTGGTGAATGCAGTCTCAGCGAAGCATGCGGCAGACCTGGCCAAAAGGTAAAGCAGCTGATCTCTAAACTACATTTGGTTTAAGCAGATAAATATGAAATATGATAGCCTAGTCTGAGTATTGTGCCACTCTCCCTTATGACATGGGAGCCTGTTAAACCTGTTGCCAAAGATTATTTACAGTGTAGATGTACAGAGGTAATTTACTTTTCATATCTTTGCACAAAGGCAAGGCAAGTTTATTTATAGAGCACATTTTATACACTATGACTATGGCAATTCAAAGTGCTTAACGGAAAGGATTTAAAATCATTAACTAAATAAAAGCAATGAAAGTTATAGACCATTTTGCAAGATGTAAACAACACTGGTGCAGAAGCACTTCCTGTTTCAGTTTTTTTAAAACTACATAAAAGCTGGGATAAAACACAACCAACAGAACATTTAAAACTGAATCAAAAAGTTAAACAAATATCTTTAAGATGTTTTCTTTACATGTGAAATAAAGAAAACAGTTACAAACTGAAACAGGAAGTGTTTCTGGACCAGTGTTGTTTGCATTTTGCAAAATGGCCTATACAAGAAATGAAAAAAATATATAGATAGACTTCTCATCTGGCAAAACACCGGTGTATTATATTTTATAATATGCTGTATATATAACTCCCAGTTTTACTCTGAGATTTTCTTATGGTGATTACACTGTCTGTGGTGTTACTTAAAAATACCAGTTATTAAAAAAAAAAAAAAACTACTACACCTATAATTAAAATGAAACACAAAGACAAAAAATTAACTCAAAATATTATTAAAATCAATAATAGTATCTAAAATAACACTGCTTCTCACGCACAGGTATCGCATCCCCATCGGACTCCATGCAAATCTCTCTGAGGGTCTTCCAGTGTCTCAGGAACTGAAGGGCTCAACAATCCTCAACAAGGATGGGTTCTTCCATGGGAAGATGGGCTTCAGGGAAGTTTTGCAGAGTGGTCAGCTCAAGATGTCAGAGGTACACATGAACACGCAGTCCAACCCGAAAAGCACATGGGAGTCAATTTAAACCATAAAGCTGGGGGTCTACGTGACACTGTTTACATCACAGTGAATAGGATTGTATTCATATTATTTAGAAGCAGAGGTGGCCTTTGTTGGAGAAAAACAATGCAACTGCAATTATTATCTCTGTTATAATGTTATCTCATATTTCACACTTAATATTCAATTTATAAACAAATTCTATCTCTATAACCAGAATCTCGACTGAAAACAACAAACAATCAGGCATTGAGAGCAATACAAGTTAGAGAAGAGGGATTAGATAATGGATGTAATAGGAATTAGTGCTAATACAATATGAATACAAATAGACCTTGGCTTTCCGATGACGGAGTGCTCCAAAAGCTCCAGACAAGTTTATCCTTATTCTTTATCCTTATCCAACAATCTCGTAATGTCGTGTTGGAATGACAGCAAGTGCGTACAGTCTTTCTTGCAGGATGATGGCTTTATCAGCCACAGGTGCGAGATATAACGTAACCCTCTGGTATTGTTTATTTGGGAGTCACTCTTGTGTTGTTGGCATTTAAAAGGACTGACCAAGTGAAATGTAACTTTTTATTTTAGTTTAAGTAAAATCAATGTAATATGCAATATTTTTGTTCAATAATAGTGGAATGTGTCTATTTTGCACGCTTGATATTTGAGTTTCACATCTTTGTTTAATATTTACCATTTATTCATTATGACAGTCAAAAAAGTGACTATTTTTTTACAACCATTTAGCTTAATCAAATCAAGTCCACGATTGTTTCTTGTGGTCATATATCGACTGCCGCAAATGTCACAGAGTCACGGTTAAATATAGTGAAATTAAATGATGGAAAAACTGATAAGATACTTTTAAATATGAAACTAAAACCGTCAGAGACGCATTTGGACTATTTTTATTGCCAAAACAGACAAAAACAGACAATATTCTGTTTTTAAAAAAATAGTCTAAAATGTAAGTTACCTAATATTGATCGTGCTGATATTCGGGAAAATGGCACTCTTGCTCGTGTGGTATTGTTGAAATTTTATCTATTGAAAAACAAGAATTCCTAAATGCAAATAATAAATACCAATAAATATAGTTTCATAATTTTTTATAATTTTAATAATATTTTTTAGGGCTATCAAATGATTAATCACATCCAAAATAAAAGTTTTTGTTTACATAATATATGTGGGTGCACTGTGTATAATTATTTTGTATATATATAAATACACACACACAGGCATGTATATTTAAGAAAAAAATATTATTTATATATGAAATATTTATATATAATATAATGATATAATTCTATATACAGAATATAAATGAAAATATTTCTCAAATATTATTAAGTGTGTGTGTGTGTGTGTGTGTATATATATATATATATATATAATTATACACCGTGCACCCACATATATTATGTAAACACAAACTTTTATTTTGGATGCGATTAATCTTTTGACAGCCCTAATATTTTAACATCATTTACGTACCATTTTCACCTTCTCTTTGACCCTTTTCTTTTACTAATAAAGCTTTGTTTTAATAGATGTTATTGGGCTGTGGAGGACATTTTTCCAGTATGTTTTTGTTACAAATTAACCTGTTGTTAGCACTTTATTGTACAGTCCTGTTTCACATGAACATGCTATGTACTAACCTCTAACTAGGTACTAACCCTGGACCTAGCCCTAAACTTTAAATTAACCCATGTAGTTACCTTAGACTACTTAGTACTTTTGTGGGTAAGGATACTTCTAGTACATTGAAAGTGCACATACTGTAAAATAAAGTGCAACCAACCTTTTTATTTGCAAACATCAAGGATAAGCCAATTTTCCATATATAAATTCTTTAAATAAATAAGGTATGAAACCATTTTAAAGCCAAGCACAACACTACCATTTAAAACGCTTGTTTTCCTGTGTTGTTTTGTCTGTTTGTAAGGTGGAGGTGGAGCTCAGAGCCCAGGTGAATCGTTTTTGTGAACTGGTTGGCCACATGCCCTACCATATGGACGGCCATCAGCATGTACACGTGCTGCCAGGTAACGGTTCGAACAACCCTTTTCACCTTACATCTACATTTAATCATTTACCAGACTCTTTTATCTAAAGCGACTTACAAATGAGGAGAGCAATAGAAGCAATCGACCTAGTTCAACCTAGTTTAGCCGTTACTTGAAAAAGTGACAAAAGACTCAGCGGCTCGGGTTGAGTCAATCCACCAGCAGGGAACAGTCCAGGGAATGGTCTGTGAACGCCATTTTGTGTGTCTTTGCAGAGCGCTTCTAGAGGGCATATAGGTCTGAAGTGAGTTTAGGTATAGGGGTGCAGAGCCAATGGTTGTTCTATAGGCAAACATCTATGCCTATTAAAGGAGTAGTTCACTTTAAAAAAAAACAAACTTTTGCTGATAATTTACTCACCCCCATGTCATCCAAGATGTCCATGTCTTTCTTTCTTCAGTCAGTTTCATTTTTCTCCATATAATGGACTTCAATGGGAACCAAACGGTTCAAGGTCCAAAAGACAGTTGACAACTGCAAACTGTTCAAAGGGCTTTAAACGATTCCAGATGCTGAATAAGGGTCTTATCAAGCGAAACGATCGCTCATTTAAAAAAAAATAACAAAGTTTAAGTTTTAAGTTCAACGAACGAAATGAACGAATTGACTCTGAAAAAGATTCGTTCATTTTGATGAACGAGCTTGAACAGGAGAGTCATGTGCGCATCACATAACAGAGCAAGGCGAGCATTTGAGCTTATAAAACTTAAACTTTGTTTTTTTTTTTTTAAATGAGCAATCAATTTGCTTGATAAGACCCTTATTCATCCTCTGGAATCGTTTAAAGCCGTTTGAACAGTTTGCACTGAAACTGTCTTTTGGACCTTGAACCGTTTGGTTACCAGTAAAGTCCATTATATGGAAAAAAATCCTGGAATGTTTTCATTAAAAACCTTAATTTTTTTTCGACTGAAAAAAGAAAGACATGGATATCTTGGATGACATGGGGGTGAGTAAATTATCAGCAAAAGTTTTTTTTTTTAAAAGTGAACTACTCCTTTAATATATTCTAATGGCTGCCAATCAGTCCGCTTGTGTGTCAGTGTTTTATTTGAACTACACTATACTCTTAAACATAAACATTCTTTATTTTCACTGATGGTTCCATAAAGAATCTTTAATATCCATGGAACCTAGAAAAATATTATCTAATAACTAAGAAGAAAATGATTCTTTCAAGAACTGTTCTCTGAAGAGTTCTGTGAGGAACCAAAAATGGTTCTTTAATGGCATCACTGCAAACCTCCCCTTTTGGAACCTTTATTTTGGGGTTGGAAACAGTTGTCACTAATGTTCACCAACATTTTATAATATTTTAAATGATTTTAGTGTCACTTTTAATCCGTTTAATGTTCCCTTGCTGAATACAAATATTACATTTCCTTGACGCATTGTCTTCTTTTAATATTTAACTCTTCCCCATTGTTTTCAGAGGTGCGAGAGGTGTTCGCCCAAGTTCTCTCTGATTTTGGGGTCACCTACACACGGGTACCAATAGAACCTGGTCTTAAATCCTGCACCTTCCTCCCATCACATCTGCAAGACTTCAACACCCAGGTTAAAAAAGATGCCCTTGAATCTATCGAGGTCTTTCATCGCCATGGAATTAGGTTTGTGAGGCAACATTGTAAAAGATCAGCATCTGCTTTCCAAGATTTCTTTTTTTGTCTTCAATATCCGATTTTGTCCTTCATATAAGCATACAAACAGTATAAACACAATCCACTAAATCCTTTGTATGACTCCTCAGGTGGCCTGATGTATACCTGGGCCTAAGCACCATGGGTAAGAACATGTCTGTGCCCAACCTGAAACGCGCTTTGGGCTTCGCGCTGGAAGCTTCACTGGATGACGCTGTGACTTCCCCATTAATACTGACACCGTCCGATGACGGCCCGACCGACTCCTATCGACCAGTTACAGCGGAGCTTATGGTGCATCCGGGATATCCAAGTCAACATCAGCAGGGTGGATGTGGAGAAGGACCAGATGACTTCTCACAGTCTGCAGACCGACTGCACGAGCTGAATACTTTGAGGGACCCTTTGGTGCTTCACTACTACAGGCAACAGGGGATCCACCTCTGCGCCTTTAAAGACTTTTAAACACTTAAAGCAGAGCATTTCAAACCGAATGCATGTCTGCTGTTAGGAAATCTTGACCCACACCTCAAAATATCAATTATTTATATTATAGGGTGAATGCTTGGTTTGGGAAAAGGCAGAACATCAGCATTCAGTGTATCTGTGGTGCTTACAAAGCCCACACTAAACTATTTGAAGCTTCTACCTGTTAAAGTACAGCCAAAACAAGAATATTATACCAATATTTCAACAAAGACACAAGTTATTATTAGATTGACATTTTTTTAAAGCAGGCATTCACTTTAAGAGCCCAGTTCTTATAATAGGAAGGTGCCATTTTAATTGGAAAACTTTTGCCTCATTTGAGCTGAGATTTCTCTCAAATATCGCAGAGAATCCAATAGCAATCTGTATTTATGACTGTAACATACTATGTGAAGATTTTAACTCAACATAACATGTAGCGATTACTTTATATTTAAAAATTCAATGCTATTTTTCAGGTGCAATGTTTTTAATGAATGTATTTATGATATTTTTATTAACTTGAATTAAAAGCATAGTACCATTTACTGTGGATTTCTTTAAAGCATTATATGCTTTAGCGTCGAAAGTAAAAACCGTATTGTATTAAGCACATAAATTTGGCACTTTATATTTTATATACTGAACTTTAGACCAGCCAATGGCACCAGAGAAATATATTTGTGCATATATGTATGTATTTGTGCACTAATCATCCATCCTATTGAAACTCATGCAGAACTAGGTCAAAATAGCCTTTATTTGGTGAGTTCAACCTTTTGTCACATATTAGGGTTAACATGTTTATAACCTGTGTATATTAAATTCAGGCCATTAATGGCATTTCAGATGCAAGTTGTAATTGAAGCAACAGTTCGGGCTTTAAGTAGTAGTCTTCATCAATATATAGTTTACTAATGGTAATATATTCAGGTTAAACAATCGCTGAACTCTTTTAGAATTTGATTTCATCACACAAATCCATAATGCTTGGGCATCCCAGAAAAATATTGTGATTGGTTGATCTTAAGAGGAAATCCCTAACCAATCTGTAGAAGCGAGAAAAAAAAAAGTGAATTTAGCCAATGTTTCAGTATAACAGATTCCCTTGCTTGGTCTTCCTCTTTTATTTTGGTACACAAAAGGGAGTGTTTTTAAAGTCCGCACAAAAATAAGCCTTTAAAAAGAAGAAAATGACACTGTGAAGAGAGCAAGGGGCTTATTTGAGGCATACTGCAAGAGATTTCACCCAAAAGCAAATATCTTGAACGAAAGAACGCCCAAAGAACCTCGTCGATTTCACATCATAAAGTGTGGCGTCAAAACCAAAGTTAAACTCTTGAGTCTTGACATATTGAATAATATACTTTAAAGAGAATGTTCTAGAAAACTCACGGTCAACTACTGCGTTTATTCTGTGTTGGGAGAAAATAAGAATAATATTCTTCAGTAGCGTACATCTCTGTAAATCTAAGGGCCACTTCCCTGTTTAAACCCAAATAATCAATAATATACAAGAAACTCCTATGAAACACGTTAAAAGAGAGATGTTTAAAATGAGTGATCGTCATCATGGAAAATGACGTTCACTCACACAAATAGCATTGTTTTCATCGTTCCTTTTTCATTTGTGAAACAAAAGTATTTCATAGCAAAATCAGCCTTTGTTTCTGACTCTACAGTGGTTTTGCCGATTCGAGGCTTGGAAAGGGGCTGAAAGTAGCCTGTTCCTCAGACATACCGTGCAACCCAACAAGTGCAGTGAAAGTAAAAGGGTTATATGAATAATCGCTGAAATCCTCCAGCTGGCTAACCTCCGTTCCTCCTCAATGTCTCCGTTTTGTTTGGTATTGTGGAAATCAAAGAACACACATGTAAGAAGAGGGAACAACATAATAATAATAATAATAATAATATACATGATAAATTACAATCCATCTGGTTTTAAATGAACTGTCACTTCCAAAAGTAATTTCTGAAAGTTGTGTGTAATAATGCAATGATTCATTTTCTCATTACAAAAGGGTCAAACAGCATTCATAACTGAAACGCCCTGTACAATTTCCAACTTCTTTCTCTTAAGTTATCCTCTAACAAATTTATGCTTTCAAACTTCAGAAAGAAAAAAAAATAATAAACAACAGAGTAAAAAGTTAGTAAGGGCCTCAAGCTAACACCAGAAACTCGGATGTCCTCACGGTGTCCTGCTTCAAGACGGAGGCTGCAGCTGCGCAGTACTTCTCCAGCTTGACTAGAGTGACACGTGGAAAGGAGAGGAGAAGGAGGGAAAGCGGGAGGGAGGGATAGAGGATGGCAATCGGGTATTGGGAGGAAGGTGGTAGAGCGAGGGGAAGAGGATCAGAGGAGTAGGGGGGTGGGGGGGTCTGGGGCTACACACTTGTCTGGTATTGTTAGTCCACTGGCCGCTTTTCGCCGTGTTTCTTTGTAAACTCTTCTGCATTCTTAAAGAATTTTTTACGGTCTTTTGAGTATTCTTCTGCTAGGTCGGCCCTCAGAGGGTGTTCTGGCTGTGGGTCGTTCACCAGGGCAATGAGCGACTGAATTACTGTAAAAGAAGGGGAAAGAATGCTGGTTAGGCAGGAAATAAGAAGCCCATTATTCATAATGTACTCTACGAAACTGTAAACCCATGTGCTCAAAATAACTCACTTTTTTTTGAGTAGGGTAAACTTAAATTAAACCAATCAGTTCAATCAAGGTAACTTTTATGAGTATTCAGAACTTTTTAAGCCATCTGAATTGTTTCATTGTTTTGAGTTTAATGAACTTGTTTCTTTTAATTTAGACAAACTTCAATTGAACTGAAACTGGGCTGGGATTTCTAATTCCCAGCATGCTTTGCCATGAGGATGACACTCGAAAGGGTAAGTAGATGCTAAAATTAGTTTTTTTATAATGTGTGTGTTTTTTTTTAAGCAAGATTAATGTAAAGTGGGGGGATTTAGAAATTTTTAATGTTGGATTTTTTGGGGGTAACCATTATGGTGACGAGTGGATCATGAGCTTGGTTTGAGTATTGCTATACTTATTACAGAATTGTGTTTCCAATTAGCAAGTTACTGTACGTTCACACCGCGACCTACTTGAGCTTCCAAAGCAGCCGGAAGTCATTCATTTTAAGCTGCAAGGAGCGTCAAAACCATCTGCGTCGCGTTTTGGGCGCCAATCAGAAAGTTGAAAGTATCTCAACTTTATGGTAATGAGCTATGACGCGGTTCAGCGGCAAATCGCCAGCAACCAATCGGAATATAGACGTCCTTCACACTGGCCGATTCCGGAGAAACATACGATGTAAACTTTCGTTCCTACCAAAACATTCCGAGAAAATGGAGAAGCTAATCGCCCGTTGCTGGGTTTCCTATCATTTATGACATGACGTTGTTTATTTGAAATATTTAGGAACGTTTGGTTTAAGCGGGAATGCAATTCATCTGCTCACGGTGACAACGATTTGACCAATTGCACTAATGGAAATAATAGCATAATGCAAATAATAATAATAGCTAATTATTCTTTTTTTCCCCCCGACCAAATGCGACCAAAACGGTTATAAAAATGCTGTCATTATAAAAGGTTTCTATTGCTTGTTTTTTTCTGTTTATTACATTTCATGTCGTGACACTTATTTTCTTCCTGCAATATCTGAGCATCCAAATGTCAACAAGCTTCCCCGTACTTTTTGACAAGCGTCCTTGACAGGGCAGCCAGAGCTTCTTTGCCGCTCAAGTCGGTGGCGGTGTGAACGTACAGTTAGCATTCACTGAATTAGCTACTTAAAGCTAGCCAAGTTAAGATTACATGATAATTTAAGTTAAATGTATGAATTAGCTTACTCGAACATTTTTAAATAAGAGCAATCCAAATATATGTAAACTTAAACTTTGAATTTAACTTAAAATTGATTTAACATGTTCTCACATTTTTTTGAGTTCTGCTAACTTTTCTGGGTTTACAGTGTACTAATGTAATCAATACACCCACAATACAAAACTGAGTTAAAACCCATTAAACCCCCAAAACAACTTTATAAACTAGGGATTTAGTACTGCATTATTTCAACTTGGTGAGAGTAATCTAGTTTTCTGAAGAAATGCGTGACATTACATGAATGCAGTAAAACGATCACATGCATGTTGAAAGATCGTTTGAACGCATCTGTTCCTGGAGAAACTTGTCATCATCTACAAAGCTGCAATAACTAACAACTGCAAGACTAGCAGATTCAATACAATCACATACACTACCGTTCAAAGGGTCTGTAAGATGGGGTCAGACCAAGGATGAATTTATTTGTTTGAAAGAAAAAATTGTAATATTGTGAAATATTATTGCAATTTAAAATAACACTTTTCTATTTTTAAATATTTTAAAATGTAATTTAACACTGTGATGCAAAGCTGAATTTTCAGCATCATTACTCCAGTCTTCAGTGTCACATGATCCTCCAGAAATCATTCTAATATGCTGATTTGCTGCTCAAGAAACATTTCTTATTATTATCAACGTTGAAAACATCATGCTGTTTTTTCAGGATTCCCTGATGAATGAAGTTGAAAAGAACAGCATTTATTTGAAATAGAATTCTTGTGACATTATAAATGCTGTAACCGCTACTTTTGATCAATTTAACGAGTCCTTGCTGATTTAAAGTAATTATTTATCTAAATAATTTCTCAAATCTTATTGACCCAACATTTTTGAACGGAAGTGTATATCAAGATTATTTCTGCTAAAATATATACATTCTTATTTTTTACAGTACTAATAAATCATCTCTATAATTTAGTCTGAGAAAACTACATAGCCTGCCCTTCTTCATAAAACAAACCAGGATTAAAAAAAAAAAAAAGGGTTATCCATGTAATGTTTGGGTAGTAAATATGAGTTGAAAAGAAATTAAGGGTGTTGCCTACTATTTAAACAGATATGAATACAAACAACATCACAACGACTTCTATTTGTTCATGTTTTCTACATAATAAAATGAGAGCTTTAGCAGTGACTCATGTGGCGGTTTCAGGAATATTGCAGCGCATCTCACCTTGGTCAGTTTTGGTGGCTGGTTTCCAGTTCTCTGCACTAATAACAGGCAGGCAGACCTGTCCCTTCTCGTCAATGTTGGGGTGGTAGATCTTCGTTTTGAACGTGATCTTCGGTGGTTTGAATGGGTACTCTGCAGGGAAGATGATCTCGATCCTGAACGCCCCTTTATCATATGGAGGATTGTCCTGTGGGAGAATAAGATAAATGAGATGAGCACAGCTCAGCCTATAATGTATATATGGATGTTGACAACGGGACAGAAGGCTGAATACGTGTAGAATAAGATCAGATATGGCTGATTGCATTATGAAAAGCACCGATATCTTCCAGGTCTAAATGCAGTCTAGCATTTGAAATCTGTTCAACAATGAACTTACTGAAACTAAGCAATGTTTTAAAACAGTGATGCCCAAGCTTTATACTACAAAGTGAAAAAATCTAAACTAATTGCTGAAAAAGTACATGTTGATTTATATCCAACAAAAATATATAAAAATTTACATTAAAAAAAAATGTAATTAACTTATATTCTCTACATTTCAATGCAAAAATAAAAGACATAAATTAGAAAATAAGATGTGCTTAAATGCCACATTTCCCCCCATACTTCATATATCAAAAGTCATAAAAGGTCAGCCATCTCTGGCCCACAGACCATAGTTTGGGCATCTGTTTTAGCACATATAAAGCATTTTACATGCAAATATGTTTCAAGATTTGTGTTTCCAAATCCTAATGCAGTCTTATAACAATTTCTTGTCTTGACTATGCATAGGTAAATAACATGTAAATACAATTCAAGCAAGAATGATGAAATATGAACACCAATTATTAACTTACTGGAACAATGAGGCCTTGCCATGTCAATATGTTTGATTCATCAACTTGAATGTTACGGAAGTTTTTCATTCCAGATTTGCGGATTTCTTCAAGCTCCTGATGAAAACAAGGGTTGTAAACAAGGATGTGTTAGATACTACAAGTGGGTTATTACAACTTTTGCTTGTGGAGCAGACATATAGAAAATCTGAGATGGACGGACGGGTTTCCGATTAAACAACCTTTCTTTAGAACTCAATCACCATTAATTAAGTGCAAATAAATGAATTAGTAGTTATAGTTGAGTTTACAACATTGACCAACTGCTTATATTATGGTCAAGACACCAAGTGTAACCTGAGTCAGGTCTTGACCTAATGAGTTGGAGAAATTACCCCTTCCTCTGCAGCTTACTGTAAATAACTGACCCGAACTGAGTGTGCATTAATACAACAACAACAAACCACACCTTAAATGTTTGAAGTAACATTATATCTGAAAACTATTGCTCTAACATATGCTTTCAAAGATGTCTATTCACTTCCACATAGAGCTTCAACTAATTATTACATTTAAAATCTATTAATCTCTCAATGATTCATCTGACTAATCGGATTAAAAAGGTTATTTCTGTGTGTGAATTAGGGGTGTGCGATATGACGATTTTTAATCGTGGACGATTAAAATGTCTCCACGATCTGCTTTTGAAGAAATATCGTAGTATCGTGTTACAGTGCATTCTATCAGTTCAGTTCTGGCGGCGTTTCAACTGTATAACGCGACGTAGCCAACACATCAGACGTTAATGAAGAGGTACGGGACACTGCAATTCACAAAAGTTCATTATTTGCATAAGCCTTGCCGGTTAAACATTTAATTCACGCGCTGATGCGCTGTTCTAACGTGCGCTTTCCTGACCGCAAACCCCCGACGCTCACAGGCACTAGAAGCCTGTCAAACAGCGCCTGAATACTGAACTAGTTATCTTTCGAGTCTTATTATGCTAAAACTGTTAAATACACACAATGTTTACATAAACAGGCTATGTCTAAAGTGAAAGCAAACATTTGAGAGAATATCTGGTGTAATATGAGTCTATATTAAACGCGTTGCGTGCTGGTCTAATAGCAACAGGAATAAATAGTAGCCTACTGCCGCTTGTCCTTAAAGGGATAGTTCTCAAAAAAAAAAAAAAAAAGTGTCATTATTTACTCACTCTAATGTTGTTCCAAACCTGTATTAATTTCTTTCTTGTGCTGAACACAAAAGACGATTTTTTTTAATGTGGGTAACCAAACAGTTGCTGGTCCCCATTAACTTTCAGGAGAGAACCTATAAAAAACTATAGGGGGACCAGCAACTGTTCGGTTACCCACATTATTCAAAATAACTTTTATTTTCAACAGAAGAAAGAAACTTATTTGGGTTTAAAACATCTTGAGAGAGTAAATTAAGACTATTTTCATTTTTGAGGGAACTATCGCTTTAGTGTTAATAAAAAAAATAAAAATAAAAATAAAAAAAAACACAAGGAGAAAATCACTCACTGACTGAGAACTTTAATAGTAGCTTTAATAAGAATCAATTTATTCAGTGAAGTCTATGTAGTGTTTTAATTTCATATTTGTTAATTTAATTACTTTCTTCAATGTTACTGCTAAATACACCTACTGCATCTGAAAAAATAAAGCACTATTTATTTAATTTTAATATTAATTTGTGTAATGTTTATCTTGTCTTATTTTTTTAATGACAAAGAAAATAATGACAAAGATTTTTATCTTCGCCACTGGCCTATGCCTTTCTTTTTTCTTTTGTTACCTAAGGCTTTGTTTTTAGGGACATTAGTTTGGCTGTAATGAACAGCCACTTGTAAAATATTAAAACCAACTTGAAAAAGAATCGTGATAAAAAATCGTGATCGTGATTTTCCTAAAAAAAATCGTGATATGATATTTTTGCCATATCGCCCACCCCTAGTGTGAATATATGCAAGCAATCGAGGAAAGCAGTGTATCGTGAATAAGTAACGGCTGAAGGGGTTACTCCGCTTCGCGTCGTGCCTAACAACGCCCTTCAACCGTTACTACTCGAGTACCTTATTGCTTTTATAAAACGGTTACCACACAATAAAAAATATTAAAGTAAAAAAATATGTAGTAGTGAAACTTTCATGAAGTAATATCATTAAAAGCCTTACTTCCGCTAAAAAAAATAAATAAATAGTCCCTGACCATGAACAGCAACAAGGTTCCAATGTGTAATAAAGCTCAAATAATAACAACAAACTGCATTGTTGCGCAGTGATACATAGAACCGTCGGGTAAAGCGGTTATAGCAGTGTTTTATCATGAATAAAAGCACAGCTATTGACCAATCAGAATCAAGTATTTTACAATTATAAATAATGCATAGACAATACACATACTTATTATATTACAAACGTAATTATTCCACATTCTGCCCAATGTTGTTGGAAACCCATAATATAAAGCAGTCTTCGTGTTTTATACAACTTGGTTCCCCACAGCAGCTAAGCCTTGTGTTTTGTCAATAGAAAAGCTATTCACTCCTGTAAAGTGACGTGACTTGCGGCGTTTTGTTTACACTCAGAAGTGATTAATATATTTTAAATTCGTTATTGATTATTATTTTCATTATCAATAGGTTGTTGCAGCCCTAGTCTCACAAGTCCATACAGTATTAAATAAAACATCAACATTTTCATGTTGAAAAACACGTACTATAGAGTGTTTTACTGCCCTGTGAAGATTACCCATTTCCTACCATCACCACTGAGAGCGGACTGCCATTTACATCTTATCTAATAAGGAAGTAAACTCGCTAAGATGATCATTGTGACAAAAAGTCTGCCAGCTGTACATAAACACTCTAAAACCTCAAATATACGACCATTTCAGATAGTTTTACCTCGGAAAAATATTGGGCAGAAACACCTAGGAGGTTAAAAACAGGTTATTCACTTGTTTGAAATGAAGTGATTTAGACAAGACGGAAGTTCATAAAGCGAAAGCTTGTTGTTTAGTCGGTTACTGTTTCGTTTTAAATGAAGGGCGTTACTGCAGCTTACCACCCAAAACACTAAAACGCATTTTAAAAGAAATAGTCTAAATATGTGTGCTATTTTAAGGTTTAAACGGAAAAAGAGCGTCGATTTCAGCCTAAATTTGTCAGATGTTGCTGGTTTGGTCCCTTTGAGTCATCTCTAACGTCACTGCAGTGGGTCTAAAACATGAAGATTCGGTTAAAATGACCCATAAGTTGTTATAACAGCCGTTTAATTTAAAGTTATTGTATTCATATTTGTTTCAATCAATCAAATCTATTCTAACGTAAATCATCGCATTGGAATCCTATACATTTTATTGCAGTCATTTACTTGGCGTCAATAAACGAAAGGACTTGTTAAGACACTGAATCCTACTCTAACGGCACTTTGACCCGTTGTCTCTCCAAACTCGACCCCAAAACCCCGTTCTATAGTCCCGCGGCCTCCACCGGCGCTTTTCCTCCTTCATGTTTGGAAACGCTAAGCGAGCCGAGTCATCGAGTGAGAGAACCGCTCGTACCAACGTCGATCAAGCCACAACGAGCCAGCGAATCGCATTTTGGGCGAGTTAAACTTCATGTTCAAACCCCTATCGCGTCGTCGTATGTGGTTACTCTTTATATGTGATGTAAAAAGTATGAGGTTTAGACGTCTACCTTGTGTAGTCTCCTGCTCGCCGCCATCTTGAATCTTTCAACTACTACCAGAATGCACCGCGCGGCGCAACGATTGAATCATGAGCTCGTGCGCGTTTTTAAAACTTCGGTTGATCTGGTCTGGAGTCAGATTTAATAGTCGCGTACAACCGACACAACAGGCGAGACAAGAGCGCAAATACTGATCTCAGGTCAGCACCCGTGGGTACTTTCCATTACAAAACGAAACAAAAATGTAGTTTATTACACACTGTGGATGGAATTGGTTCTCCCGTTATGAATCGAGCTCTATTTTAGTCAGCCTTTTATTATTTACTTATCTCGAATTTTTTTTAACTGAATTACTGAATAATTTCAGTGAACTTCAGGATTTAGGTGTGCCTAGAAACCCTATGGAGGGAAACACACAATTCAATGAACGTCCTTGACAAGGAAGTGTCTTTTCCGTATTTCTAGTTTAGTACTAGTTAGTGACCACATGATGTCACTCCAGAGTAAGCAATAATGCTCGGAGGCTATTTCTAAAATCAACCAACAGTCTAGTAAGTCTGACTAGACTGGGAGAACCAGCAAGCCACTTTAGGCTGGTTTCGTCTATTGTTCAGGGAGTGAATTTCAAGGCGAGGAGGGAGTTCCAGTTCAAAATGCAGAGGATTTCCATAGTTCATCCACGTAAAAACCTCCAAAAGAGTTGCACATTTCATACATAGTGGGATTTTATGTATCTACACTCTTAAAAGGTTATATAAAAACGTAAAGGTTTCTGTCAGACGCTTCATATACAGTAGCTAACCTTTTAGGGGTTCCCATCATGTGATCATTTTAGTCATCTAGTTTTAATTAGGCTAATACATTTTATTTTAATTATTTTCTTATTTTAATTACATTTTATAAGTTAAACAGCTTGTAAACATACTGTATAAAAACATTAAATAACCCGTTAAACATTAAATGCATTATGCAATTATTTTTTCCTTAACCTTTTTTGGCATAAGGGTTCCTTAAAATTGAGTAAAGAACCCTAGGGTTCTATATTGAACCTCTTCAAACCTTTTTTGCGATATACCACAAAAAGTTCAGACAGACAGATGTTCCTTTAATTTATACATAGATAACTATCTATAAATTACAGGAACATTTGTCTGTCTGTCTAAACAGATGTTCCTTTATTTTATAGATAGATAACTAGTCTATCTATAAATTACAGGAACGTCTGTCTGTCTGTCTAAACTTTTTGTGGTTTAAAAATAAACATTATGACATAAACACTATGTCAGCTAAACATTAAGTCATGCACATGTCACTTAAAATTTTGCTGTGTAATTGTAGCACTCAAACACCAAACCAACAATTACTAAAAACACAAACAAAAACAGATTTTGCATGGGCACTGCACTAGTTTCTTATAATGTCTATGTCCAAATACAGTTTGAACAGGGTCTGTACATCAAAAGTTAAGGGCTGGGGTAATTGTGTGGGCTATTTGTGTGCATGTGAATTTGTGGTTTTGTCAGTTTGCTTATTTGTTGATTATCTTTTCTTGTTATAGGGGCCCATATACACAATCAACATGCTTCCCGGACCAAGGAGCAATAAAAAAGTGAGCTTGCACTCTCCCATAGTTTCCTGGAAACCACATGACTGAGACAACTTGATCAGACTTGCTTCCCCTTCAGCAATTTCAGGTAATCTTGCTGATGGGAAACATTACCTATCTTGTTTCTGCTTTTGCTATGTTTAGCATTCAAAAACATCAGAAGATAATAATTTTCGATTAATTGGTAAAACTGATGCTTAATACTCCAAGTTGATTGACTTAAATGACTTAGATTACAGGGCATGAAGAATGTTAAGAAAACACCTACAATTGAAGCATATGATCTGACCTAGATTTCAAAAATCAAAAATGCATTGCAGTTATGACTTGCTTTATGCAGTTTTAGACTTGTAAATATAGTAAATTATTGCTCCAAGAGCTTAACATCTTCAATATAGCTTTAGAGCACCATAGCAACCACAAGGAAAGCCCCAACAGAATCTAAACTGTTTTACTGTTCATTGACATCTTAATAATCATATTATTTCTAAAGTCTCTTATTATGGTTTAAGCATGAAATATAATGGTTTTAACATTTTGGCTGTTTCCAGCAATATTTATAGCTATTTTGTGCAGATGTAGTGGCCAAAAGTAATGTCTGCCTATAAGAAGAAGAAGAGGTTTTATTTATATAGCGCCTTTCCAAAGCTCAAGGTCGCTTTACATGGTACATTTATAATACATTTAAACACTGACACACAACTTACAGTCACAAAGGATACATATAATCACATTTAAACGAAGTACATGTTGAATAGATATGTTTTTAGCTGTGTCTTGAAAGCAGTCACTGATGAAATATTTCGAAGTGAAAGGGGCAGTGAATTCCATAATGTTGGCGCATTTACACTAAATGACCTTCCACCTACTGTAGATAATCAAAAGCGAGGGATGGACAATAAACCAAGTTCAGTTGATCTGAGAGAGCGTGCAGGACGGTAGGTGAAAAGTAGATCAGACAAATATGGGGATGCAAGACCGTTTAATGCCTTATATGTTAAAAGCAATACCTTAAAGTGGATACGAGATGCAACGGGTATCCAGTGAAGGCCATGAAGCACCGGAGTAATGTGAGCAGAACGCCTGGTGGAGGTGAGAACTCTTGCTGCTGAGTTTTGGACGTGCTGTAATCTTGCAATACGTTTTTTGGGAAGGCCAATAAATAAAGCATTGCAATAATCCAGACGTGATGTGATTAATGCATGCATTAAGAGTTCGGCGTCAGCTAAAGTGAGAGATGGTCTTAGACGAGCAATATTTCGAAGATGAAAGAAAGAGTTTTTAACAATGGAAGAAATATGAGAGCCAAAAGATAGAGTTGAGTCAAATAAGACACCGAGGTTACGGGTCAGTGATGAAGGCTTAATATGGAAACCATCAATATAGAAGGACTGGTCCATCCTTTTTACTGAGGCTGGAGAGCCAATCACTAATATCTCAGTTTTATTATCATTTAATTTGTGGAAGTTAAGGGACATCCAATGCTTGATGTCCCTGATGCATGCAGTGAGTGAGTCAGGCAGGGATGGTCTATCGGAGCTGGTGGTGAAGTAAATTTGGATGTCATCTGCATAGCAATGGAATTGAAGTCCATGCCTGCGTATGATGTTACCAAGTGGGTGTATATAGATGATGAACAAAAGTGGACCAAGAACCGAACCTTGAGGAACGCCCGGTGTAAGTAAATTGGTGGCAGAATTATGACCTTGTATGGTGATATAATACTTTCTGTCAGTGATATAGGAACTAAGCCAGGAAAGAGCAGAACCAGTGACACCAATATCAGAAAGCCGAGAAATAAGCAGTTCATGGCAGACTGTGTCAAAAGCAGCGCTTAGACCAAGGAGCATCAAGATTAACCCTGAATCCATCGATGAGAGAATATATAAGAATATTGTACATATAATATATAAGAAAATTGACATCTTCACCCATTTATTTAAATATTATTTTAAAAAAATGTTAATGATTTTGTAAACATATTGCATAGTTGTGCTTGGAGTCAATTGTTTTATTCATGTGCCACGTTTTGGGTGTTTGTTTCTTGTTCCTGGGTTCTGTCATGTGATCCCATGTTTTAGTCATGTGATCCTGCCTTGTGGTCCCTTGTCTGTTGTGTCAAATAGTTTAAAGGTGTCCCTTGTTTCATCCTTAGCCCTCATGTTTGCCGTGTGTCCTTGTCGGGTGTTGTTTGTTCCATGCCCAGGGTGCTTCTCAATATCCCTCCTTGTCTCCTCGATCCTTCGTTCGTCCTCCATCCTATGACTCGGAAACCGATTGAGCTCAGCCATCTTGAAGGATGTCTCAATTCTCTAATTGCACCGCGAGGATCGAGGAGTGAGGAGGCTTCGAGGAGCTATGAGCGAGAGTATGCACAGTTGTGCTTTCTTTGCGGAAGTGTTTTATTGACTAAACGTGACACACAATCACAATCATTTTAATTTATACTTTACCTTTGGAGTTTGTAAAAACCACACATCTCACATATTTCAACAGTATAACCTATCTTAATTGTTATTTATAATGAATTTATTAAATAACCAAACTTCAACAACATAAGGGCAGATCCTTTTAACGCTGCTGATGACACTGTGGAGCAGTGTTGTAGTACTCGAGGCTCGGACTCGTCTCGGACTTTTAATGGTCTCGGTCTTGTCATGGACTCGTGTCCATTTGGACTCGGAATTGACTCGTACTTGAACATTTTTTTTTTTAGGACTCGAAATTATTCCCGAGTCCACTCGAGTTCAATTAAAAATATTTTTCATGATTATTAATGTATATTAATAAAATATTTCTTTAAATTGATTGACATGCCCAGTGATTGGTGATTTTCTAGTGCGCAACTGCACATGACAAATTGTAATAAAATTACTTTTAACACCACCTACTATGTGGCCTTTTTACCCTAAACTGATCATATTTTTTAAACTCCAAGTAAATTCAGTAAAAAAAAAAAAAAAAGGATTTCTCTAAGTAAATAAAAGTAAATTAGGTAATCAACCCTCACTGGTCTCGGTCTCGACTCGGACTCGACCGTCTCTGGTCTCGGACTCGACTCGGACTCGACTCTTTATGGACTCGGTCTTGACTCGGACTCGACTCTCTCTGGTCTCGGTGTCGACTCGGACTCGACTGAGGTGGTCTCGACTACAACAGTGCTGTGGAGTGACGCTCGAGTGAAGCATTACAATAAAAAAAAGCTTTTTTTTCGATTCCTCTGTCCTCGTTTCCTCGTAAAGGAAATGAGGATGCACAAATAAGAAATGAGAAACACCCCATCATTCGATTCCTCTGTCCTCATTTTCTTTCCTTGCCACAATAAAAGGCCAAAATATGCAGTTTCATCAAACAATACAATGCCACAGATGTCGCAAGTTTTGAAGGAGCATGCAATTGGCATGCTGACTGCTGGAATGTCCACCAGAGCTATTGCCCGTGAATTGAATGTTCATTTCTCTACCATAAGCCGTCTCCAAAATTGTTTCAGAGAATTTGTCAGTACATCCAATTGGCCTCACGTCCTCAGACCACGTGTTATCACACCAGCCCAGGACCTCCACATCCAGCATCTTCACCTCCAAGATCGCCTGAGACCAGCCACCCGGACAGCTGCTGCAACAATCGGTTTGCATAACCAAACAATTTCTGTACAAACTGTCAGAAACCATCTCAGGGAAGCTCATCTGCATGCTCACCGTCCTCATCGCCGGGGTCTCGACCTGACTGCAGTTCTGCAGTGGGCAAATGCTCACATTTGATGGTATTTGATGGCTCTTTACGAATGAATCACGGTTTTCACTGGACAGGGCAGATGGCCTTGTGTGGGTGAGCTGATGTCAATGTTGTGGATCGAGTGGCCAATGGTGGCGGTGTGGTTATGGTCTGGGCAGGAGTATGTTATATGGTATGGTATTTTGAATGCACAGAGATACCATGACGAGATCCTGAGGCCCATTGTTGTGCCATCATCCACGACCATTACCCCATGTTGCAGCTTGATAATGCACAGCCCTATGTTGTAAGGATCTGATCTGATCATCCCAGTTCTTGCATGGCCAGCATACTCATCGGATATGTCACCCATTGAGCATGTTTAAGATGCTCTGGATAGGTGTATACAACAGTTTTGCAGGTCCTGCCAATATCCAGCAACTTACAAAATATATACAGAATATACAGAATCCAGCATATGCACAGAATACAGATATATTCTATATTGTATTCTCTATTCTACAGAATACAGATATATTTATATACAGAATACAGAATCCAGCAACTACAGTATATACAGAATATCTAGCAACTTCGCACAGCCATTGAAGAGGATTGGACCAATATTCCACAGGCCACAATCAACAACCTGATCAACTCTATGCGAAGGAGATGAGTTGCACTGCGTGTGGCAGATACTGACTGGTTTTCGGACCCCCAATACAGTAAAATTTCACATTTTAAAGAGGTCATTTATTGTGGCACACATGCAATAATCATGCTTATAATAATCATGTCTAATCAGCATCTTGTTATGCCACACCTATGAGGTGGATGGATTATCTCGGCAAAGGAGATGTGCTCACTAACACCGATTTAAACAGATTTCTGAACAATATTTGAGAAAAAAGGCCTTACACAAAGAAAAAGTCGTAGATCTGTGAGTTCTGCTCATGAAGAATGGGGGCAAAAACAAAAGTGTTAAGTGTTATAATAATAATATAATATAAACGTATTGTAAACGTATACATTGTAATGTAAACGTATATAATATAATATAATATATTATAATAATATATTATATTATAATTTTATGTTAGAATATGACTACAGTATACTATATATACTGTATATTACAATTATTAGTGCTCAACTCTCTGGCATTCATATCACTCTGCGCTCTCTTTCTTTTCGCACAGTAAAATAATTCAAAATCTATATTCCATGTGTCCAAGGCTTTCTCAGTAAGAGCAAGAGGATTTTTCTTGTGAACCTTTGTGGTTTGTGGGGTTTATTGCAGTTGACTTACTGGAAAGTTTGCTTGGACTCCAACATTATATCACATCCAAACACAACTTCATGTTGAATACTCAACTGAGAAACCACTGAGGGACTTTCCTCTTAGTGAACATACTTTTGTTATGTCATAGCCTACATACTGTATAGCTGGATGAGTGCCCAAGACCAGCCCACCCCCCTCCCCCTTTTTACTCTCATGTTTCATTTACATTTACATATATTCATTTAGTAGACGCTTTTATCCTAAAGTAGTATAGAGAAAGCGTGGGAGAAGCCATGTGTCTTGCCTGACTGCGTGCATAATATAGCCCATATTTATTAATTAATTAGGCTACTTATGTTCATTATCTATAACGTAACATGCATTTTCCATGTATGTGTAATATAGAGAAAGCGTGGGAGAAGCCACGTGCAATGCAAAGCTCTTGAACAGAATAAAAGCAAAGGTTCCCATTCTTGGCTTGTTTATAATAAGATACAATTGCAAAATAACACATGATTTGATGAAAAAAGTGCAAAAAAAAAAAAAAAAAAAAAAAAAGCTGTTGGTGCATATATTTTGAAATTGGATGCAAAAACGAAGTGATTTCTATATTTCCATTTTATCATTTACCATGATTAAAGAAAATGTACAAAAACATGAGGAAGATATGATGACACATTACTGTACCATACTGCAGTATTTTTTTATTAAGGGTGTCCAGAATAAAATCTGTATACTTTGCAATATGTTGAACTTCATAGCAAGTTTTTTTTTTCTTTCTAACCTGAAATGGACAGATTATTGGCATGCACTGACTGTTGATTTTGGAAAGCAGTAAATCAGAATGGAGAAATTGAACGCTATGTATTTATAAAAAACGAAACTAAGTTAAACGGTTGGAGGGCTGTGCTTTTGAAAATGAAGCTTGCATTTTACAGTTCAGCTCAGGACAGGTCATTCATTGTGGGCGCACATATCCCTTTAGTTTCTTTACAATAGTGTTGCTCTTGGCGTTGTTGCTTCACGGAAAATCACACACCCTCGGATCCTTGCCAATGTCGAAAGGCATTCAAACTATTCATTACTAAGATAATGACATGTCTAGATCACGTTAAATGCCTCTTTGTTGTACAGAAGGTTTTTGAAAGACCTAGATTATGTGCATCATCTTTTATTAGTCTGTCTCCTCTAAAAACATTTCCCAGAAAATTCATTTCACCCAAACCCATCAGTTTCTATCCGGGTTTGAACTGCATTTTGTGAAATATAGGAATTTTTTATAGGAAATACAGTGGGTCCAAAAGTCTGAGGCAACTGAAAAGTTGGGAGTGAAATAAAAAAATAATAATAATAATATAGTATAAAATGTCAAATGAAAAAGATATTTAATAAATGCATTAGTGATGTATATTTATATTAATAACATTAATATACACATCCTAAAAAATCAAATTCATTTTCCAAATCACGTTCTGAATTCCTGCTAAAAATGTAACTTTTAATAAAACGGTATTAAATTATAAATAAATGCAACTGACAATGTTTCACTGGTGGTCTCAATTCCCCAATCGTCTAAACTAAATCATTATGAATGAGAAAACGAAAGCTATGAGCATAAAAGCAACAATGAAATATTTCACTGCATGAGAGTTCAGTTAAGTAAGATTTGTGTCCTTGTTTATAAGCTGCTAAATTAATGATCAGGTCACGCACCCCTGCAGAGAAGTCTATACTGGAATTGAGAGGGGGGACAAACAGCCAAGAAACGTGGGAATGGTGAAGCCAAATAAAACAGCTGGATTTACGAGTAGGGGTGGAGCAGGTGCGGTAAGTCTTAGTGTGAAAGTGAAAGTGAGTTCATTTTTTGGTGTATAAATATGCACCTGATACCTGCATGTCACACCTGTGCACAATTTTCTGATGCTCATGCAGAGATCAAAATCAAAGACAAGAATGCAGACTTCAACAGTAGCTCTCCTGGTCATTTCTGCAGTCCTCTGGGGAAACACAGAAGGTAAGACTGAAACTGAAACATTGAAACACTCACTCCCATGGCACACACACTTGCAGCTTCTCAGAAGCATCCTGCAGAATTAACGAATGTCTGCAGCTTTAGATTTACAGCCATTGCTAAAGAGCAATTCTTGGCTTTTTCTCTCTTGACTTGTTCTTCACAAAGACTCAGTTATATAACTGTGGGAGCAAGTTCCTGTAAGTCCAGAAACAGACCTAGTTTTGTTCTTGCTTGAGGTCAGATACACCAGACACAGGAGGGGGGATTTCCACTGACGAGCATTACTAATGGCATGTTTTCATTCTCAGCATTTTCAGACAATGCTATGGACTGCTGTCTATCCACCAAGGACACTCGTATCCCAATGCAAGTTGTTGCATCCTACTTTCATCAATCCATAGACAGCGGATGTCCCATTGAAGCTACCATGTAAGTATCAGTTGATTCCCGATTGGCTTCATTGATATACTAGGATCGTGTTCGTATTAATGCATGTTTTCCATACGTTCCCATAGATTCATCACAAAAAAGGGCAGGAAACTGTGCGCCCCACCAGAGAAAAATGGCTGGATTAGCAAAATCATCTCACACCTGGACAAGAAGAAAAAAAGTCCTCTGTAGGAACACATGGTACTAACAACTCCCACTGCATGTCCCTTCTCAAGATTTACTTCTGCTCTCTTAGATCTGTGATATCTCTTAAGTGGAATCTGGCATTTATCAGAAGTTGTGCAGTTCTTCTTTAAAATCTTTTCTTAATCTGCTTTCGTTTTCCTGCTTTTCAGAAAATGATGACCTTATCGCTGCACTGAGCAACACTGAATACACAGGAAGAGACTTCACTAAATCAACTACTGCGACAGTGTTTTTTTAAACAGATATTGTAAATGATTAAACCCTGATATGTTGTGTATGTTTTACTGTACTGTCTCTCTGTAGCGATTGTGAGTCTCATACATGAGATTTCATGCAAGCTATATCTCTATTTTTAGGACATTTTATATGTATCAAACTTTGTGTGACTGGAAATGTTTGCCAAGAATGCTTTCAAATAAATTAATTTTGTTAAATCTCCTGTCCACCGCAATTATTTCATCTGCAGTGTCGTTTTTTCCCCTTCATTTGTCCTTCTGGACAAGATGCAGTTCAAGACTTTCTTGAAAGAAGTATTTTATGCTTTCAAAGGCTTCATTTATTTAATCAAAATCACAGTGAAAGCAGTTTATTAAAATGTAATTTATTTCAATGATGCATCATTACTCATCTTCAATGTCACATCACTCTAACATGATGATTTGCTTCAAAAACATTTCTTTATTAAGGCGTCACTTAACTGACGCCTTGGGAAGCATTCGGACATGCTTCAATATCTGACGCTTTAGGCGTCCTTTAGCGTCAGTTTGATGACGCCCTAGGATCGCGTGTACCCTACCCCCACCCCACACCTAGGGTGCTTCTCATTTCTTATTTGTGCATCCTCGTTTCCTTTCCTTGCTTCCTTTCCTTGCGTCTCGGCTCCACCCCCTGTAGGATGCGAGGGAAGGAAGCGAGGAAAGGAAAGGAGGACAGAGGAATCGCATAAAGCTTTTCTATATACATTGGAATACTTGATCACTCGAGCGTCACTCCACATTGTCATCAGCAGCGCTAAAAGGATCTGCCCTTATGTTGTTGAAGTTTGGTTATTTAATAAATTCATAATAAATAATAATAACGATAGGCTATACTGTTGAAATATCTGAGATGTGTGGTTTATATAAACTGCAAAGGTAAAGTATAAATTAAAATGATTGTGACCGATGTGAAGGGGGAGGAGAATTGACACGTGCGTCACGTTTAGTCAATAACAGCTCCGCGTAGGATGCACCTGTGTATCCTCGCTTATGACTCCTCAGGAAGCCTCCTATCTCCTCGATCCTCGACTCCTCACGGTGCAATTAGAGAATTGAGATGTCCTTCAAGATGGCTGAGCTCGATCGGTTTCCGGGTCATAGGAGGGAGGACGGAGGAGCGAGGAGACGAGGAGGGATATTGAGAAGCACCCCTAAACCTAACCGCGTCCTCTAACTGACGCTTTCCTTTAGCGTCAGTTAGATGACGCCGTAGGATCGCGTCATGTAAGTGACGCTAAAGGGCGCCTAAAACGTCAAATATTGAAGCATGGTCAAAGGTGACGCCTTGGGGTGAGAATGCGTTGATCATCAATGTTGAAAACGTGATAAATTTGTTTCAAGATTCTTTGATTGTAAAGCTCAAATGAACAGCATTTATTTAAAAAGAAAGCTTTTTGTAACATCACTTTTGACTAATTTAATTCAAGCTTAAAAGCATAAAAGTATTAATTTTTCTCCAAAAATATATGATATCAGATGTTCATGCACAATATGTTGTTGTTGTTGTATTTTGTCAAATGTCAAGTCACCTTTATTTATATAGCGCTTTTTACAATACAGATTGTATCAAAGCAGCTTCACAGTGATAACTTGAAAATAATTCAACAAGTTTGTTTCTAGAAGAAAACTGCATCCATGGCCACCTTAAGTAAGGCAGTTCATTACATGAATATTAAATGTCCCCTATGCAAGCCAAAAGCCTAGGCGACAGGACAGTGCAACCAGAACTCCATTAGAAGACAAAATGGAGAAAAAAAACTTGGGAGAAGCCAGGCTCAGTCGGCCAACCAAGAAACAGTGTATGATTCGGGCAGGATTACAAGTCAAATGCTTGAAAGAATATAAGAAGCTTGATAATCGGCATAATCTGAAATTTTATTCAAATGCACAATGGCAATGCTGAATAGACAGGCATTTTTCATAATACTGTACATTTTTATTGCTACACATTTAAGAATATAATCTAATAACCATGTTTACAACCCTAAATGTTCAGCCAAGCCAATCTATCAGTCTAAACAGTCCATAAAGTTGTGCTTTGACATGCATTCAAACTTTTACAATAAACCCAACATAGTTCACTATGTAGTTTCCCACACTCACATACACACGCACGCACAAACATTGTGTTTTCATGTTTTGGGACTTTCCAAAGACATAATGATTTTTATACTGTACAAACTGTACATACCATCCCCTAAACACTTACCCATCAAAACTTCCTGCACTTTTGAATTTTCAAAAAAACATGATTTAGTGTCATTTATAAGCTGTTTTCCAAAACAAAGTGTCCCCACATAGACAAGTATTACAGATATTGTCGTCTTGAGGGAAGATTTTACAGGGTTTACCTAAACCACACAATAATAATTAACTGTGTAACACTAAACATTAACAGATATTGGCTTTTTTTTAACCCTCTGGGATTCCCGGCTCTGCATTGCCAAGCATCAGTAACTACACATGAATTTGAGCAAACTGTTCAGTTTGGCAGGTTTAGCTGAACTACTTCTTCAGACAGTCATATCGAAACATTTGCCAGACTATTGGCCTTTGAGTGAGAAATATCATGTGAGAGTCTGTGAGAGTTTGTATGTGGGCATAAAATGGGAAAGAGAAAAGAGAGAGTAAGGAACCGGTACAGAGAATGTTGTGTATTGTGAAGCCTTTGTCCAGGTCACAACCTCTCCTCTTTTGGCATTTTTTTTTTTTCACAGAACTGGGAGGGACTATATGTCATAGTGAAACTTAAGGTTGTATAAAATGGGAGTGATGGAGCGAGGAGAGAGTCAGGAAAGAGAAAAAGTCTTCTAGTCACTCAAGGCTTGTTCCAGCATCTTCTGCACCCGTTGCCATGGCTTCATCCGTCATTTCTGCGCTGAGCGTGAGTCTCTGTGCACTGGGGTTCATTCTCTACAGCAGTCCGGCAGGTAATCGCTCGTGTTTTCTTCCTTCATCCATTGTTTGTGCTTATTTTCGAGTTTTTAGTTCTATTTGAACTTAAAAGACTTCAATTGAGTCATCAATTGTATTATTTATAATACTATAATAATATTATTATCATTATTCAGAATATAGATGTATTATTTATTCTATTATTTATTATTTTATATATGCATATTTTAGTATAGACATATATATGAAGAGTTCAGATGCAAAAAAGCCTCTAAGTGCCATTTGAAATTTTCTTCTAGAATGATCATTTTTATCAAGCTTGTATATTTAAGTTCAGTGATTTCACTTAAATGGCAATGATAATTACTTATTAATAGTTATTTAAGTGAAATTACTGAACTTAAATATACAAGTTTGATAAAAATCATTATTAAAGAAGAAAATTTCAAATGGCATTTAGAGGCTTTTGCATCTGAACTCTTCATATATATATATATATATATATATATATATAAAACCCACATTTGGGTCAAATGTGGACAAACCCAAATGTTGGGTTAAAAATGTCATTCAAAAATTTACAGATGAAAGTGAAAGTTGAAGTTGGGTTAAAATTTTAAATTACATTTTTAACCCAACATTTGGGTTTGTGCATATTTTACCCACATTTGGGTTCAAACAACCCAGCATTGTTTAGAGCGTAGTAATCATGAATTTTAAAAGTCTTTCTTTTTTTTTTTTTTTAACTAAGATAAAGCATAAGTTCTGCACACACTTGCGAAGACTTTAACTTAAAAATAAATACAACATTACATAAAACACATTTGTCGTAAACAGTTTAATCTTAGTTATAGGCTAGTTGTAATTCCCACTTGGTCCCACTCCCAGCTGTGCATTTCACATTTGTTTCGCTTCACGGCACAGTAAATGATGGCCAATAAAAAGTGTTGTTTTTCTTACACACACACACACACACACATATATTTTCGAGACAGCACATGTGATCCCCCTTTTCCTGTCTTCCCATCTCTTGTCTCTCATCATTTTTATTTCCCCTTTTGTCTTGGTCTTTCTCAGAGGCTCAGGCGGATTTAGCATTGGACTGTTGCCTGATGGTTAGCTATAAATCCATTCCCAAACACATCCTCCTTACTTACTGGAAGCAGTTTAAAGGTGACGGCTGCCCCCGTGATGCTGTTATGTAAGTATATTCATCAAATACTGAAAAAAAAAACGGATGATATCAAAATCCTGGGTTATGTGTGGGAGCCTGGGAGAGAATGAAACTATATCTATGACATTTCTAAGCAAAGCAGATGTGAAAGTGTGTCATGTTCTAGTCAAATAATGCACAGAAATCAATTATATTTCAGATTCACGACCAGGAGAGGTCGTAACCTTTGCGCCCCGCCTGCCGCTGACGTGCAGTGGGTTAAAGAGACTATCAACTTTCTGGACACTAGGCTGAAGAAGTGCAAAGAAACCAAATTCAGTGTATGTAATTTACCTCAGATTTATTCAGTAGCTTGATGGTTTCATTTGCTCAGTTGTCTATCGGATGACATAAAACCGGTTGCACAACCGGCATGTCATTGTTAGAGTTATTGCACGAGTCCTGGTCACTTTCTCTTCTCTGGTTTTCCTCTGACTCATCATGACATTGTTTATATGTAGTAGATCTCGATTCGGATGTTAGAGTCTTACTCATACAAAACCACAAACTACTCAACTATAAAACCACAAGCCAAAACATACTCCCACGGAAAATGTAATGAGCTTTAAACAGACCACCAACAATGTGGACTCAGTCAAGCATTTTGTACATGACGCATGTGCAGCAGATCTCTATTCAATTCAACAACAGCAAACAGTCAAGTGAAAGTCTACAATCTCTTCAAGCAGGTTTTAACGGTGTGCTTTTTCTGCTTGTATTTCAGGAGAAACGCTGTCATGGCCTGAAGATTTAGACTGTTTGAGTGTGAACACACACACACACACACACATTCAATGGCAGCTAACGTCTTTCTGTTTTATAAATGCAGTTCTTCCTCACTCAGCATTGCCTATGATAAAATCAGGCCAAGTTGTGTGAACTTATTATTCACAAATATATATATTTTTCTGTTTGTTTGTTTGTATTTTCATATAATCATCTTGTTGAATTTAATAAATGAGTTGACAAACACAATTGGTGGGAATGTATTCTTTATGTGACGTTCTGACTTTATATAGGCTACAGTAACCAGTAACAGTGCTGTCAAATCGATTAATCTAACATACAAGTTTGTGTTTATGTAATGTATGTACACACACACACACACACACACACACACACACACACACACACACACACACACACACACACACACACACACACACACGCACACACACACACACACACACACACACACACACACACACACACACACACACTAGCGCTAAACGCCACTGAGCGGCGCTAATGATCTGATCTGATCTCTTCTGTGTAACGCGCCATCAAGCAATCACGAAGAAGAGGACTAAGTTAGTCAGACCAACGCTACAATATGACACATTTTTCAGGCTCTCACGTCGTATTTCATTTTCTGTGTATAATTATTATGCTCTTAAATGACGGAACCATTTGTAATGTTGGTAAGTGAGCTTTGAATAAATTAAATATCAGTAAAAAAAACCGTGAACCGAACGAAAACAAAGCCAGCTAGCTGGATAACTGTTAGCAAACATCTTGTTGCCATGGAGAAACTCCAGCTTGAATGTATAATTAAAGCATAAATAAAGCATGTATTCATTAACATAAATATTTAAATAAACCCTTACATTCGAGAGTCAATCGTAACATAACTTTACATCTGTTATCAATTGGGAATATATAAATGAATATATGATTATTTCAGTGTTTCAGCCTGGGTTTATTCTGGCATCTGGTCCAAGAATATCATCATTTCTGGTTGGAAACGTGTCTGGCATTTCCTTCAGCATCAGTGCTGTTTCATCCTCAAATGCAACAGGTAGATAATTACCACAACATTTCTATTCAAACACCTATAACAACAACTCGCATTACTGTACCATTAGTTAACATTAGTTAATGCATCAAAGGGATAGTTCACCCTAAAATGAAAAGTTGTTCCAAACCTGTATACATTTCTTTCTTCTGCTGAGCACAAAAGAAGATATTTTGAAGAATATCGGTAACTAAACAGTTTCCATTTTCCATCCTATGGAAGTCAGTGTCTTCAAAATATTTTATTTTGTTTTCAGCAGAAGAAAGAAACTCATACAGGTTTGGAACAACTTGAGTAAATAATGACAGAACTTTCATTTTTTGGATGAACTAAGATTTTTAGAAGCAATATTAGTTCACGTTAACTAATGAATGAACTAATGTTAACAAATTGAACCTTATTACCCATGTATACCGTAATATTTGAACTTCAACAAATGTTTTCATTGTGAACTGCTTCAGGAAGCATCCCATTGTCATCTTGTGTGCCGGTTTATCAAACACAGTGGAATCTTTCATATGAATTAATTGGGAAGGTGAGTTGATTCTGCCACATTAACCGTAGGTTTATGCAGTATAGAAGGGCAAATACTGTCTTTATTCTGTTTAGAAGCTACTCAGTATCAGCAACATGGACAATCTAGCTATGTAACATGGAAAGAATTTCCAACAGTTAACAAGAATCAAGACATCAAGAAATTTACTTGTCCCCCGGTAAAGTCCCCGGTAAAATAAAGGAAAATGCAATCTGTAGTATTAACGTTTATTCCAGTCAACCTGTCATTAAACAGGGTGTGATCACCCACGCATAACGTTTTTGTGCATGTCTGAAATTCCCTGCTGTTGTTCTGCGTCGCCCCATCAGGGAAATTGTTCGTAGAGATGGTTATTATGAGCTCCAGAACTTGCCCAGGGATTTGTAATCATCTTCAAACTTTGTAATCATCAAACTATCCATCCTATTTCTTTAGACATCAGGGCGTAGCAGATATTTAGAATTTAATAGAGCGTTCAAGCAGTCGGTACTTTTTGTGGTAATTTTCACTGTTGTGAAATGACACTTTCTTGTAAGTTGCTCTGATAAGGAAGTATCTTTTCTGTAGGATTTTTTTGGTCACACTTTAGATTAAGGTCTAATTCTCACTATTAACTAACTGCAACTTTGCCTCAATAAACTCCTAATAAACTAATATTTTCTTATTAATAGTTGATAAGTTTAGGTATTGGGCAGGATGAAGGGATGTAGAAATGGTCATGCATAATAAGGCATTAATATGTGTTTTATTGTTACTATTAAACTGCTAATATCCTAGTAAAATGCATGCAAATAAGCAACTAGATAATTGAACCCTAATAAAATGAATTGGATTAAATATATTAAAAGTAACAGTAAAGATATTTATAATGTTCACGAAATCTTTCTATTTCAAATCAGTGCTTTCTATTCACAAAAAATATTAAGCAACACAACTTTTAATAATAAGAAATTATAAGAAATGTTTGTTTTTTGAGCAGCTATTTCTGAAGGATCATGTGACACTGAAGCCTAGAATAACGATGCTGTAAAAATTCACAGGAATACATTACATTTTAAAATTGTTATTTTAAATTGTAATGATATTTCACAATATTACTGTTTTTTTTACAGTATTTTTGAGCAAATAAGTCTAGGTGAGCGTGAGATACTTATTTTAAAAACATTAAAAAACATTGCTTCAGCTCATAGAATGGAATGGATCTGATTTGCACATTAATATCTGTTGTTCATATGAAAACTATGGTGGAAAAATAACCCGGTTGACTTCAGTGAACATGCTAGGAATATCCCTGACATTCAAGTTTGACAAACCAGAATGAGCGGCTCAACTATACATTTGACTGCTTGATCGTGTTATTTTCAACAGGATGCCTCCTCAAGCTAAATTACGTATTGCGTTCTTCTTTTGAAACTTCTGCCTCGGGGTTTCATAAACACAGCCCACGACCACAAGAACCCCTCACCTAACCTGAAATACACCACATTATGCACTAGAATAGATCACACCAACGGCACAAAGAAATGATATAGTTGGTATCATTTTTCAGAACGATTTTTTCCAGCTGATGAAAGATAAAAACATTGACAGCCAATCAGAATCCATTCTGCTTTGAAGAGCTTGGGCATTTTAAGCAGCAGATGACAAACCTGCGTCTGACAACTAACAGAAGAACGATATCAGCCGCTGGTGTTGAAGCGAACATAGTCCTTATAGTTATCTTTATAGTTATCATTCTTCTTGTGAACAGGATTTTAATCCCTTAAATAAAAATCTTATTGACCCCAAAATTGTTAATGGTAGTGAATGCGCTATTTATTTGAAAGTGGATAAGTTTATCCGTTGAGGAAAATCATTCAAAACATAAGCAATACTGGAACTTTGCAATATTGAATATCATATGTTCTTTCTGTTGAATGCCAATATATCAGAATGCCTTCCTGGTGCGAGTGAGTCTCAACCGCAGTCTGCAGCTGTGTGGGAATGAAACATCTGTCCCGGACTGCTGCCCGGAGCCGCTCTGTCTCCAGGAGACTCTTCTTGTGTCTGCATGTGCTGATGAAGCCCCAAAAGCATCACTCATTATACAGACCCAGATTTATGCTCAGATCTTCCCCAACAAACCCCTTTCTGGTTAGTATCTCTTTTCATGTTACTGAATATAAAGTGTTGTAGTACAACCTGGTGGTATTTAGCACCATGGTGGGACTACCATTATTGATTTTTAGTAGTCAAGTCACCTTTCTTTATAAAGCAATTAGACTTTATACAATTAGACATTGTACTGTATACCTTTAATGCAATGTATCTTCCGATAAAATTGTCCGCCAAATGCATGCAGTCTTCGCATTACCCTCTGAGACCATCATTTTTTTCCTTCTTTTTCATTGAGAAATCTTAAATTTGTTAATGTTTCTTTCTTGTGTCATATAATAATGCATATTTGATTTTTTGTAGAAAATAAAACAGCCATTCCCAACCAAGTGTTTCAGCCCCTCGGCAGCTGCCCATGTGATGTTTCCCTTGGCGAGTGTGACGTACGCTGCTGTTGTGACCAGGTAATAGTATTTAGTAAATGTATTTAATCATGATATGTGGACAGTTGAACATCTGTCTCCAATACATCAGTCCTTTTCAATTGGATTAGTGCTGTTGATCCAGTTGCTTAGCCATACATTAAATGTGGCATAATACAGAAGTTGCGATAGTATTTTTCATCCTTGTTGTGATATAAAGTGAAACGGCTTCTCGAACAAGAAAAAAAAATGTAGGTTTAGTGTTTTTCAAAGCTTACATCAACAAAGGAGGGCATGATCAATTCTTAGTTTATTTATGAGTGTGTTTTTTCTCTTTTAGGACTGCAGTCAAGAAGTTTTGTATTTGTTTGCGACTCAGTGTCTTCCTGGACCTTTTGGGGGAAGTTTCAGTCCTGTTCCAGAGTATCAGTGCTCAGCTCAATCCTCTGAAAATGACCCTGATTGGTTCCCCTTTCTCTGTGTCACCTCCCCCTCGGACAACAACCCCTTTCTGGGACTTTTCTATGATGGTCGGACTGTGTAAGGACTGGAAGTTTTCTCCATAGATTATTAGACTTATTCAAATACACTTCTGTTTAAAGGTTTGGGGTCAATAAGAAAAAGCATCTTATTCTCACCAAGGTTGCATTGATTAAATAAAAAAATACAGTAAAAACTGTAATTTTTAGCATCATTACTCCAGTCTTCAGTGTCACATGATCCTTCAGAAATCATTCTAATTTTGATTTGGTGCTCAAGAAACATTTCTTCTTATTATTATTACAAAGCTGAAAACAGTTCAGCTGTTTAATGTTTTTTGAACACTGTAATGAATTCTTTATATGAATAATGAGTTCAAAAGAACAGCATTTATTTGAAACAGAAATCTTTTGTAACATTATAAATGTCTTTACTGTCACTTTTGATCAATTTAATGCGTTTTTGCAGAATGAAATTATTATTTTTTGTAGAAAAGAACAAAAACAAAAACTTACTGACTCCAAACTTTTGAATGGTAGTATATGTTTGGTGATTTTCTAAATTTTCATGGGTTTTTACAGTTCCCCAAAGCCCAGTCCGTCATTCCAAGCCCCACAGATGACAACAACTGTACCTCCCATAAACTACC